AATGACAAGTGAACAATGTGTCATGTAGTCGTGAGTGGCTTGGGATGCAATTGCCCCTAAAGGAGCAATTACAAGGGGGAGATAGTCCCGGGCGATTCTGTCAAACCCAATAGAATACTATATCTCCCACCCCGTCAATCACAAACGTTCAACGCGGGTGCAGAGGCGTCTCCGTCTGGAGTTGGCTAGCTATACCTACCGAGTGCTCACCGAGCTGTCTCCTGTCCTTTGCGGCCATCGTCACCGGGCTTGTTGGCCGGCTTCCGGTCCTCGTCGGACTGACTGGAGCTATCATCGGCGGCACCCGATGTAGATGCGCTACGCAAGCGTTGAGCGCGATCTTGAAGCACTTGGGCTTCCGCGGCGGCCCTCTGGGCACGAATCTGTTTACGCCACATGCTGGCATACCGGCCTTTCATTGCCAGCAATTGATCGTGAGTGCCACTTTCAGCCACTCGGCCTTCATGCAAGACTACTATTCGGTCCGCCGTAGTAATGGTACTCAGTCGATGAGCAATGACAAGCATCGTCCGCCCACGGGAAAGGCTTGACAGCGCGCCCTGGATGTGCTCCTCGGTTTCTGTGTCCAGCGCAGCAGTCGCTTCATCCAGAAGAATAATTCGCGGGTTCTTGAGAATGGTCCGAGCAATGGCAACCCGCTGCTTCTCTCCGCCGCTGAGTCGGAGACCGCGCTCACCGACCTTAGTATTATATCCATCGGGGAAGGACATGATCTTGTCGTGGATGCTGGCAGCACGGCAAGCTTCATATACCTCCTCATCCGTCGCGTCCTGATTGGCATACTTCAAGTTGTACATCAATGTCTCGTTGAAGAGCACCGTGTCCTGTGGCACAACTCCGATGTGCTTGCGGAGCGAATCAATTTTGATACTTTCCACGTCGTGCCCATCTACACGAATACGGCCCCTCGTCGCGTTATAGAACCGGAAGAGTAGACGGAAAACAGTAGATTTTCCTCCGCCTGACTCACCCACCAGAGCTGTGGTTGTCCCAGGCTCGCAGCGGAACGTCAGCCCATTCAAGGCTGGTTTCCGGGTGTCATATGAGAACTCGACATTTTCGAACATGATATCACCCTTGCAGACTGGCAGGGGCCAGGCGCTGGGTCGATCGACCACGGTGGGCTGTTCCCTGAACAGTTCCAACAGCCGCTCTGAGTTGATCATGGCTGACTGGATGGAACGGTAGAAGGTACCAAAGAAGTTCAAAGGCCCTTGCAATTGGGCCATGTATGTGAGGAGTGAAACAAACTGACCAACATCCCGCTGTCCTAATGATACCTGATAAGCCGCGATAAAGCATGCAATCAGCAAACCTAGCATGAAAACGGTGTTCTGCGATGTATTCAGCAGATTGAGAGAGAAGAGAACGTGGTATTCGGCCTTCTGGAAGTCAGACACAGCATTTCTGTATCTGCCAAACTCATAGTCCTCCGCATTGAAGTATTTCACGGTTTCATAGGATACCATAGAATCGTTCCTTGACATACTATAAGCTTTGCACAAGATTAATTATTAACCGGTGATATCGAGTACTTACTTAACGGCGTCTTCTTGCCGGGACTTGTTGACCATCTCCCTGCGGATTTCCGCTCGCCATTGTGCCATCCGCACGGTGACGTAGAGGTAGCAGAAAGTGACGATAGTCACCACCAGCGCATAATAAGCGTCTAGGAAGACAAGGAAGAAGACGATCGCAACACAGAGGTCAACCAACATAGGGACGACCTGAAAGGTGACTTGTTCGAGGAATGTGTTGATCGAACTACCTTTGCTCAGGGCAGATAGCACCTCACCCGTCTTTTTCCCAAGGTGGAAATCGAGACTCAGACCATGTACGTGCTCGAAAGCCGCAGTTGAGAGCTCCATGTAGGAGTACTGGCTCACAGGTATCCATAGATTAGACCGCAAAGAACCGATGAGACCCTGGTTGCCCTGCAACCACCGGTAGAGAATGTAGAGGCAAATGTTGAACCACGGAACTCGAAATTCGCCATCTTGTTTGGAGAGCATGTTGGTGATGACACCTGCCTGGTAAGGAACCAGCACATTGACGATCCGTTGCAGTACGATTAGCAAGAAGCAGATGACCACTACTATCTGCAACCGACGAGATTTTGATGGCCATAGGTATGGGAAGAATAGTGAATAACCGCTAAGATACTCCCACCAACTAGTCGACGGAACAGTAGTCGGGCGAACCCACGGGTCGGCGGGCTTGGAAGCCTGCGCGTGACCATTCGTTGAGCCGTAGGCATTCCCATTTTCTGCGTGGTGGCCGTTTAGTAAACCCGTGGTCTCATTGACCCCATTGACGTGACCGTGAGCCCTTTTGGAGTTAAAGTTGATCGTATTGAACATGTAGGACATGACCATAGCCATGAGGAACAGTACCCGGACACAGTTCAGAACTACCTCCGTTAACTCCCACGGCGTTATGCCTTGTCTCAGACGACCACCAAGAGGGTTCCCAACCACAGGTTCGCGGTGTACGTCGGAATAGATGGAGAGGGAGGTGCCTAGGATACCCAGTTCAATCGGAATCGCCACTAGCCATGGAATAAATTGAGCGAAGGTTGGAGAGGGGTTTGTATCCAATAAAGAGACGAGTATGATCGCGTAGTCGAAGAATGAGCCCACGACATAGATCTAGTATCATTAGCGACTGCGTCCCTCCCGTATCTTGAGGTTCCAACCCAAGCTTGGGTCAGAACTAAAAGCTTGAGGCAAGGCAGAGGACTTACCACCACTGATTGGCCACACCACCAGTGTTCCGATCTTGCAATCATCACATGGGCCACATTAAGGGCACCGTCCGCGGCGATTGTCAGAAGTACGCCGACAGACAACCACTTGAACAACAGTTTTGTGCGTTCTGAGAACTTTTGTGGCGCCTTGATCACGGTCATTGTACTCCGGGACCTTTTGGGGAGTGGTCGCCCACCGGGGCCGGTATGTACGGCATTGGCGTGTTTGTTCGCATTTCTAGCCGTAACAATGGAGCTCGCAATGAAGGAGGCGACAAATATGAGGAGCAGAATAATGGGCGATGCGATGCGCAAATACGCCACCATATCGCGAGTTGCGTGTTGGTAACCCATGATGTGCAGTCCTCCCAATTGGCCTATATAGAATCAGAAGACCATTTAAGGTATTTCCATGACCTAGCGACCACCTTCCTCTTCTATATTGACGCCGAAGACCGCAAGATGCGACAGGTCCACACTCGTGAGATGACGGGGATATATTGAAATAGGATGGTAGGAGGCGAAAGCTGCTCCAAAATTTTTGGAGATCGAAGGAGCCAAAAGTTGTAATGGACTGGGGGTGGATCGACAAACACGTGGGAAGAGTAGCCTCTTTTTCGATCTTCTATTAAGCTTAGGAATGGGGGAGAAATGTCTCTCTCTTAACCAAAAACGACAGACGGATTAAGAAAAGAGGAAAAAGAAAATAAAAATGTCTCGTAGAAAAGAAAAGGGTAATGTAAGAGTAGGGGGAGAAAATATAAAAAAAAAAAAAAAAGTTTTGTTCAATAAGTACAGGAGAAGAATACAGATAGGCTAATCCCGAAACTATAAGAGGAGTGAAAAGAAACAAGATCCGGGAAAGACTTGCACCAGGGAAGATGATATCAAGCAGGGAAAACAAAGAAGCCCCAGCAGGGAGGGGGGAGGCCAGCGGAAGAGAGGGAAGGAGGTGGGAAAGACGGAAAAAAGAAAAGAGCAGGTAGGGAAAGACAGGAAGAGAAGATAGCAAGAGGCAACACGCGAGAGGAAAGGATCGTTGGAGGATACAAATAGTAACTGGACGGTCGAGGAAGAATGACGGTGTGGATGCGAAAGCAGCAGTCGAGAACCCAGACTAGCCGGACCCAAAGCTACTCCAAGCTTGGTTGGCTTCGGAAGGCGAAAAATAGGAATCGGATCCAGCTGAACCAGAGTAGGGGGATCAAATCAAATAAAATAAATTCATTTTATTTATTTAGTTTATATGAAGAAGAAGGATTGTAATAAAACAAATGATTGATTTACATCATAAGAACGGTCAGTCGCTCTTCTTTGCTTTCCTTTTCTCTTTCAACGGTCGGTTTGCTTTGCTTTGCTTTTTTTTTTTTTTTTTTATTCCATTTAATCCATTTTATCTCATTTCCTTTATTTTTTGGGGTGAAATTCTTCGAGGATGATCAGATGCAAAATCGGAGGATTTTATTATATGCCTCTTGCATTTTCTTTTTCGTCATTCTCGTCCTTTTCTTTTATTTTAATTTTTTTTTTCCCTCTTCCCCCCATATTCCTTTGCATGTTGTTCCTCCCCACCATTGCTTAAATGTTACGTGTCGAGGAGCAAGGTGTGGCTAAAACAGCCCAAAGTAGACAAAAAAATAAAAAATTAAACGGGGTGTTTAATTTTCTGTCTCTTTCTTAAAAGTCGGAAAAAAGGACGGTGTGCTGGAATGAATGATCAAACTACAGTGTTGTACGTAGCTGTTTGTCAGTTCCAGTAAGTAGGAAGTAAGTACCTGCTGAGGCGCTGTTCATGGCCATTTTCTCGGGTCGGGGTGGATTTGACCAAATGATTCGTGCCCAATGGGAACAGGGGTTGGAATGAAGGTTCGAGACTTGGAGGAAAGGAGGACAATTCGGCCGCCGACGGTCACGAACCCTCAAGAAGCATTTAGGAAAGAATGGAAGCCTGAGTAAATGACTGACTGACTTACTACTAGCAGCTATACTAACTGTGGGGTACAAGAACCCAACTCCTGGGGCTTGACTATATGATTCGAGCGAGACATACCTGTTGCATACATACATGATCATACTGCTACTTACACACAGCTACTACTACCACCACTGCGTACTGCGATAAAGTTACTATGTACATACTACCACCAGCTACAGGTACATACTCGGTACAGTAGCTGCGAGCCAACCTGTGAGTGGAAGGGTAGAGATCGTTGTGTAACCCTCGATATAAGAGAAAGAAGAAAGAGAAATTGACGATCTTTTCAGGGCTCAGATGTAAACACTTACTGTAAACTAATGTAAAAATAAATAAAAAATAAAAAATACAAAGTACAAAGTACAAAGTACAAAGGGAAAAGGCCAACAGGAGGGGGGAAAACTCAGGGCGTAAGGATAGTGTGGTCGTGACAGATCTCGATGGAGGAGGGCGAGGCGCAGATCGATGCGAGAGGTAACCCGCAGCGGACGAATGATAAAAGGCCTGGCCTGCAACAGCAAATAGCCGTCCGGGGATTCCCTGGAAAGCTGTTTGCTGGGATGCCTGAGCAGCTCCTTGAATGGCTGCTGCTGGCCTGCTGAGACTGAGAGATGTGAGAGACAGAAGGACACATCACTCCTGCTGGCCCCTTCCCACGATCTTACCGGTCCCCCTTGGTTAGTATATATGAACATGGATCACTTTTGATTGATCGAGTCTTTAGAAATCATGCAGGAGGGTTGATCTTTGGGTGCCGTAGGTGGCTGACAGCTTCAGGGACGGTATTTAGAAGGAAATGTGGTCCGGTCGCTTTTCTTCATGGTGGGCGAGAATTCCATCCGATTTACCCTGGAAGGTAAAGTATACAGCAGTCACTAGGAAGTCTTGGGCCGTTTAATTTGGAGAACAGGGCGGAGAATTTTTTGCTTCAAGGGCAACGCAACGCAACACCATGATCATGGTGTCCGTTATTATCACCCGACCACAAAAAAAATCCCCCCCTCTCCGCTGTATGACCCAGCAGTCGGTCGCTACAATGCGGGGAGGGCTGGAACCGATCATGTTCTTCAAGTTGAGGATGCATCGCCATTGCCATTTCGACGAGTCATTCCTGGTACTAGTCTTTTAGCTTGTCCCACCCAGCAAGTCCCGAGTGTCCGGATGATCTAAAACCGCGCCTGGAATGTACGGCCCTGGATGCGCCTCTCCCCTCCACCCTCCCTTTTAAGTAGAAAAAAGTAAGACATGACATGACTACCACTGCCTATCGGTTTCATGAGGCTTGAGTAACTTATTTCTGTTGTTGCATGGTAGAGCTTCCGATAGGTGGACACTGCAAATTAAGCACGTTGCTGGGGGTTGGTCAAATAACCCTCGACAGCTCGAGCTGTAGTAACCTCTCCCTCCCTCTATCCTCTCCCTCTCCCTCTCCCTCTCCAAGTACTGTACTGTCAACAAGTGCTAGAAGCTAACCCAACTTTGTGAGTTAGCAGTAGGCGTCATTGGAGCCGATCGAACCCATCCACCGTTATGAATTCACACACCGCCTTGAAACCTGCATGCAGGTCGGATTTCCTCCAGCCTTTCCTAATCTGCACCCGTCCATCATTCCGTTCATCCAGAACAGTTCTCCGAAACCAACCATTCGATTGCTCTTTACCCATGGTAAACACTTGATTAGCGTCAACGCGTCGATAGATAGCTGAATGTTTGTCTGAACGGGCCCCATGCTGTACTTTTGACACTCCCCTACTTGGAGGGGAGGGGCTAGACAAGTCTACTTTTGACTTTGTGAGTTATCAGCTGAACAGATCGAATTTGTAAAATTTGTTTTTTTTTCTTATTCCATGTTCTTCGCCCTTCTTTCCTGGAATTTGCTGCTTGTCAATTGACTCTGCTCATGGACCTCGCATCTCACTTTCTGATTTTGGGGGGAAGGATGGACGAAATTAGGAACCATGATGGAGAGAGGATACGGCACGCTAAACCCACTCAGGAGCTGCACATCACGGGGTGTTGCCACGCTGGGGTGGGTTACCTAATAACCCACTAGCGCGTACTCACTAGCTCCGAGACCGGACTAGACTCGATTGGGGAGGAAAGGCCCGGATGGGAAACTGAGGTTCAAGCGGGATTATGGATTGGGTCGGAGTCAAGGCGGGAATTGGCGCACCATTATGGTTATACTACTCATGAACATGATTGTACAGAGGCTTTGGTACAATGAAAGAACTAAGCTTAAGCTGTAGTAGAACTATGATCTGTAGTTATCTGAATCATGAGAGCTTGATCAACTGAAGCAAGTAAGTATTAGTAACAATTGACCAAGGTACTACAGTACTTAGCTAGCTATGATGCCAAATATATATCACTATATTGTTAGTGGTAACCATCTTCAAGTTCATGTCCATCCCATTAGTGGTATTTGAATTTAATTTCAAGCTTACTACTAGTAGTATAATTTCCACTGCATAGTTTACTTGCATAGTGCAGGCTGCCTGAAATCATCCCCACTTGTTCTTTTTCCGTGAGGGAATTGGAGCTGGAAAGTCACCAGTTCAACCTCATCACAACACAAACCACCACTACCGAACTTCAGCCCATCCACATCCTCACCTCACCTCACCCAAACTCCGCCTCCCCCTTTCCTTTCCTTTTTTCTTCTTTTCCCCACCACCACCACCTCTTTCTTCTCCTTTCAGTAACTATCACAGTTTTGTACTTGTCATCGGAACCCAGTCGTTTACCAGGATGGAGCCCCGATCTCATTCGGGTTAACGTGTTCTGTGGCTGAGTGATCTCTTGACACACCTCCAGGCTGGCAATCATGTCCGACTTCTCACGATTGCCCGCCCGAGGCAGCTCCTCGCCAGCACCTCCGCCTCCCCCACCACCAGCTCCCGTGCAACAGAGTCACAAATATTCCAACCGCGCGGCCAGTGCTCTGGCAAGATTCGCCCAGCCCTTCTTCTCAGGGTCTCGACCTCCTAGCCCGCACACGGCGGGAAGTCGTGCAGATTTGTCTGCTGGTCCCCGTTCAACAAGGCCCAAGTCATTGTATAGCTCACCTTTGCTCCTCTTCTCCCCCCCCTCCTCTCTCCCCTCCCTTAGCACACCTACATAAACTACTCTTTATTAGCTACCCACTTTGTTTTTCTTACTACTAGCTGACCTCCCCCCTCCTACCCGCTTTGTCCCTTGCTTCTTTATTTGGATCCCCTCCAGTTTCATCCGATTCGCCGCCTTTTCACGCGCTTTTCATGCTAGATCATGCACCACTTTCTTCTTGCGAGAACCTTTGCAGACAAAATACTGGGAGGGGAAAATAAGAAAGAAAAAAAGAAATTGATCTGTTAACATTTCCACTAGACCTGGAGCATCCCAAACTGTTACGCATAAGACTGGTATTCCTATTGCCGCTCTAGATATCTCCCCGCAGCGGACACATGCAGTCATTGGCGGAAAGGAGATTCTGAAGACCATTCGCGTTTCGCCTGATCATTCTTCCGAGGAATTCAATCTTCGCAATGCTATCATCAGTTATTCATCCACCCACCATGGTGGGAGTGGACTCTCCGCCCGGCATAAAGACCAGCTGACTGTGAGAGATGTCAAGTGGTCACATGGCGAGTATGACCAGATTATTGCCACGGCGGTGGCCAATGGCCGCATCGTGGTGTATGATCTGCGCCGAACTGGCTTGGAATGCTGCCGATTCCAGGGCCACAGCCGCCAGGTCCATCGGTTAGCCTTCAATCCGCACCATGCGTCATGGCTTCTATCAGGGAGTCAGGATTCTTCCATCCGAATGTGGGACTTGCGGACAGCTTCTGCGGAACGTGGCGTCTTGGTGTGTGGGAGCCTGGATCTGTTCCACGGTAACAGTGATGCCGTCCGGGATATCAGGTGGTCGCCAACCGACGGGGTCATGTTCGCAACTGCAACAGACAGCGGTGCGATACAACTGTGGGACTGCCGCAAGTCGAGTGCTCCGTTAATGCGGATTACTGCTCATGACCGCCCGTGCTTCTCGGTAGACTGGCATCCTGACGGGAGGCACATCGTCAGCGGTGGTACAGATAGACAAGTGAAAGTCTGGGATTTTTCTTCCTCTGCCGAACGCCGACAGAAGCCAACTTTCCAGTTTCGAACCCCACAGGCAGTTCTCAACGTCCGATGGCGTCCACCGTCGTGGGCTAGGGAGCCGGAGGGTTCTGGTGATTGGCAGTCATCCCAAGTAGTGACATCTTACGACAAGGAGGATCCGCGAGTTCATCTCTGGGATCTTCGCAGGCCACACATACCGTTCCGCGAATTCGATCGGTATGATGCTCATGCTACTGACCTGCTCTGGCATTCCAAGGACCTGTTATGGACAGTAGGTGAAGCTGGGGCCTTCACTCAAACTGATATCCGATACGCTCCTCAGGTTATCAACCAACGCCCGACATGCTCGGTGGCCTGGAGTCCGAGCGGCGAAGTCCTAGCCTTCGCCCAGAAACGTCCCCAACGTAGTACTCTAGGTCTCAGCACCACTGAGTTCGTGGGCCCTCAACATGAAGAGAACAACAGTGGTGAGGTTTTGAGTCAAAGCCCTGCAGAAGACGTTCTTGACGAGACGTCATTTGCTTCTATCCGCCATCGGCATAGCAAGTCGAGTAGTGTCCGGCCGTCTAAATCCTTAGGCAGTACCCCGCCTGGTGTGGGCGATCTCATTCCTATTCTTCCATTAGAGAAGGTTTTATCGAAGATGAAACTCCCCGAGGCACGCCAAATTGGAGCAGTTGGAAGCATTCCGGGCGCTACAATGGATCGAGATACCTTTCAATACTTGGCATCCAATTACTCTTCTCTGCTCGATGGTGCTGATGCTGTTCGCATGGATAAGTTATCATCTATGCTCGAATCACTAGACCACAATGCGCAGTGCTCGGAGGACGTTTCTCTACTCAAACTAGCGCAGACTTGGCGCATTATCAAATTTGCTGTCGTCCAAGAGCTCGAGACCAGAGCTCGAGAGCAACGTCGCAACTTAGACAAGGGGCCTCGCACCATGAAGGAAAAATCATCCAAGGAGGGTCCTGTTTCTGAGAAACCACGGGTGGTTGAAGATGGGAGACAGGACAAATTGAAAACCAGGATGTTCAAGGGGGTGGTAGAAAACGAAGCATTGAAGCTTCCACTAACTGACTCTGAGAGCGCGTCTAATATGACGACGCCTCTGGCGCAGCCATTGCCTGACTCCCCTCTTGGGTCTTTGGAGAGCTCGACTTCGCATATGACATCTTTGAATGACAACACGGAAATGAAGCCTCTTCCACCGTCGGTTCTCAGCTCTAACCAGGGCACCATGACGTCGAATGATTGGTCATCGATGTCAGATATTGTTCCACAGCCAGTCCATCAATTACAGCATCGTCAGTCTGATGCAAGTGAAGATGTCCCTATCCCACCTGACAGTCTGCCCTCCGAGCCAGGACCTGCTCCGGTGCTTCAAGAAAACGGGGACGATCAAAGATCTGCACCTCGAGCCATCTCTGGCAGAGCAGATTGGCATCTGGGCGCTTCAAAGGGGACTTCTGACGTAGACGAATACGACCAGAAAATGGAGGACAAGAAAGCAGCTATTCGCGACTATAGAACCTTTCCCAAGAAGGTTCTCTCACTGGAGTCTCCTATGGTGCCTATTAAACCTCCTGGATTCCACCGGCATGAGTCCTCGGAGAGCTTCCCCATGTTCTCAGCCTCAACAGAGAGCTCCCATCCGTCCAAATCAATGGCCACCTCATTATCTTCAGCAGCGAGACTGTATGAGGCTCCCGAGGATGAAGATGTTGACCACGAAGCGGCTACTGCAGAGCCTAGTAACAGCTATGCTGAAGTCAAGGAGTCAGTCCCAAGGGCTACCTCTGTAAATGACAAAGGAACCCAGGAGTGTGATACAGTGGAAGGTATTCCTGATCCAGAGTCTATACACCTTGAGCGACCATTTAGCCCCCCTCCTCTATTGAAAGACAGTCGGCCCCTCGATGCTTCTGGTCGAGAAGATGAAGATCCAGTGCACACCAATTCGGTAGCAACTGGAGGAACTAGTGAGTTGATTGGCGTGACTGTCCCCGTCAGCCCTGACGTGACAACGAACAAGCCCTGGAGCGTTGAGATGCTTTTCA